CTGCCTAATATCTTTTTTTTTTTGGAACCTGTGATACTTTTTTCAGGATTCTTTGATGAATAAAAATTAAAAAGGAGCATTTATTTAAAATAGAAATACTTTCTAACAATATACACTACAGTTCAAAAGTTTGGGGTCAGTACAGAATGATTTCTGAAGGATCATGTGACACTTTATACTGGAGTAATGGCTGATGGAAATTCAGCTTTGATCACAGGAATAACTTCTATTTTTAAGGATATTAAAATAGAAACCATTATGTTACATTGTAATAACATTACTGTTTTCTGTATTTTTGATCAAATAAATGCAGCCTTGATGAGCAGAAGACTTCTTTAAAAAAACATTACAAGTCTTACACATTTTGATATACAAAATGAATAGTATTTATTAAAGTGTCACACATCAGTTCAGCACAGAAAGAATAAAGGCATAGTTACTATTTTTGTCCAGCCTTTCAATTTTCAGTCTACAGTATATCATTGTTTGCTGTGAACTGACAGCGCAGAAAATCTTTCATGAGATTTGAATTATCCGCTACAATACGATCTCATGGACAATACAGCGCAGTGATTGGATCATAAAAGTACACTCTCATGAATAAATGTGGAGGAAAGCTCAGAAACTGAGCCACAGCAGCCAATCCCCACTCCGAATAAATGCATATAGGCACTTTTCATAAAGTTGGTTCAACTTTGCTTTTTAAAACAAAAGAACGAAATGGCTCCAAAAAATGAAAAACTAACCACTTTTACCTTAATAAGGAGAAGCGATTAGTCAGCAGAGAAGGCAGTAAGTGTTTGCTTAATACTTTATTTCTATTTCTGTTGTTTAGATTTTTACTTGCTGCTAGGAAGGATTATTTCATTTGCTATCTATTTATACTTTTCTTCTTTCATTATAATTGTTATTTTGATTACAATTATTTGTAATAAGAATAATAGCTATCAGCTGGCAAGGCACTTAAGTATTTCCATTTCTTCCCTTTACACACTCTCCTTTCTGCCCTCTTTTTTCCACCTCTGTAATGTTTTCAATACATTCCGGTTAGTCTCGCAACAACGCTCTAACATCAAACGCAGACGGCAACGCAATCTTACTAACCCACAACCTATCTGCACCTCTTCTACTGCAGCTCTCTATTTCTCTGTGGGTCTCTGGAATTGTCAGTCAGCTGTCAACAAAGCAGACTTTATTCCATTAACTTTAAAGGGGTCCTATTATGCTTTTTCACTTTTTCATCTTTAGTTAGTCTGTAATGTTGCTGGTTGAGCATAAAAAAGATCTGCAAAGTTACAAAGCTCAAAGTCCACTTCAAAAGGAGATATTTTATTTAACAGAAATCACTTTTCAAAAACTACAACGAATGACTCGTTTGGACTACAACGCATATTTTCTGGGATTTGTGATATCACAAATATCGACAAATGAGACGAGACCTGGTTGAGCTGCACTAGAGAAGGCAACGAGTGTTATCACTATGTCGGAGACATGTTAGCTTTCCCAAGGCAGACGAACTTAGAGTGGTTACAATCATCCGGGTTTAAATCGCGCTCAAACTGATTTGATTTTGACAATATTTACACTAAAGCTTGCAGCAGGGCGGCTATGGTAAGGGACATGACATTTCCCGACCAGGCGCCGAGTGGTGCCAATCACAACACACACTGGCCCAGCTAACCAATCACAGCACATTTCGGCCCAGCTAACCAAACACAGCACA